TATACCAAGTGTTGAAAATGGAGATAAATTGCAGAATCAGTACTTACTTAATCAGGACTGCTGATGGGTTGAAAGACATTATATTAAGTTTATTAATTGTATTTAGATCTATTTCCTTAATTACTTTTTTTCTGATTGACTAATCAATTACTGGGAGATGCTTCATGATGCAAACTTGACCTTGTATTTCTATCAATCTTTGCTACATATATTTTCAGGGTATGTTATTAAGTCTATATAAGTTTAGAATTTATATCTTCTTAGTTGAATCTTTCATCAATATATAATGAACTCTTCTAGTAATGATATTTTTCTATTTGTCTGATATTAATATAACTATATCAGTTTTCTTTTGATTATTTGCATTATTTAGAATTTTTCATTTTTTTACTTTTAACTTTTGTGTGTCCAAAGGTTTTAGACATATTTTTTCTAAAGCTTATAGTTGGACTTTTAAATTTATTCTGATAACTTTTTCGTTTGGGGTGGGATTTTATGATTTATTCATTTAATTTTTAAAAATTGAGATATTATACTCTAGTAGGGGCAGAAAATAGACAAGCAAGTAAAGGGTACAGTGTGTTAAAGAATGATCACTGCTGGGGAGGGAACACAAGGCCGGGAAGGGGCTGCCAGTGTGAGCAGAAGACAGAGATACACGGCTTCAGGTAGAGGGGCCAGGAAAGACCTCTCAGAATGCCATGTGCGAGCAGGAGGAAAGGAAATTAGGGCTTCCTTTCGTTTGTATGTCTTCACATGTATGAATTTGCATCCAAAGGATAATGATGAAGACTAATGGGAGCTCAGAAGGGGCTCATGGAGCATGCTGTAGGAACTAGTCCAGGGAGGGGAGGAAGTAAGCAAGTCGAGGCATTGTGGGTAGGCCGCAGTCACATTTGGTGAACTGAAGAAAATTCTTCTAGGTCCAATGTATTTGGGATTTTTTGTTGTTGTTGTTATAACTAGACTAAGCACAAATTTAGGCAGGAGTTGGGGACTCAGGTCTTGGGTGTATCCCTCACTCACACCCTTTAAGCTTAGGGTAGTGATAATATTTGTCTTGTCAGATTGGTTCATTTACATTTATTATTGTTACAGATATATTTGGATCCATTTTTACTTTTTTATTTTGTTCTTTAATTTTGTCTTATTTTTTTCCTTAGTTTGAATTAAGACCCTGCTTTTTCCCTTTTATTTTTCCTGAAGCATATGGAAGTTACATATTTTGTTTTTCTAGTGCTTACCCTTGAATTTTAATGTTTATACTGAAGCTAATCATTCTTTTTACCGTCCTCCGTAATAATATAAGGACCTTGGAATAGTTAACTACTGTTGTCCCATCCTAAATTATAACCTGGCATTGTCCAGAATTTTCCATCTGTATTTGAAAACTATAAATTAAACATTTCAGTTTTCCCTCCTTATCCGGGGGAGGGCGGGGAAACACAATGTAAGAACCCCAGTGAATGCCTGCCACTGCAGATAGTACCGAATCCTGTATACAGTATACTAGCTATGTTTTTTCTTATACATACAAATACTTTATAGTTTCTATTTGGCATATTTGAATTGCCAGCATCACTACTCTTGCATTTGAGGGCCATTGTTAAGCAAAACAAGGGTTACTTGAACACAGGCACTGCAGTACCACGACAGCTGATGTGGTAACTGAGACCACTACTCAGTGACTAACAGGGTGGGAGAAGATTGACCAAAGGATGGTTCACGTTCTGAGCTGGCCCCAGGGGGAAGGCACTAGATGTTATCACGCTACTCAGAACAGTGCCACCGTTTACAACTTATGAGTTATTTATTTCTGGAATTTTTCATTTCATATTTTTAGACCATGGTTGACCACAGGTAACTGAAACCACAGAAAGTGAAATTGCCAACACGGGGGGTGGGGTCTGCTGTATAATTGTCTAGTTAATGCTTCTCTGTTTTACATGCATATTTAGTTCAGCATTCTTCCTTGCATATCACCTCTTCCCCTTGGAATTACTTTCTCTTTCCTGAAGAATAATAGCCCTTAGAAGTTCCCCTGATAAGGGTCTGGTGATCCTAAACTAAGTTTGCTTTGGTCTGTCTGAACCTGTCTTCATGCTGTCCTTGTTTTGAAAAATCAGTTTTGCTAGATGTATAATTCATTTTGCATTTTGAAAATTGTGCAAATGAAGACAAATGGCCAGGGAATGAATATGCTTGCTGGAGCAGCATTCCAGGGAGGAAGTTCAACAGAGAAATGGTTAGTAACACATGTGCCATGGCCCCCTGCTGCAGCACTTAGCTGCCCCGCAGGGACGGGCTTCAGACTCCAGGAGACGCTGGGATCCCAAGGACTAGCCTGGGCTAGGATACAGGAGAGCTAACCTGCGATGGAACCTTGAACCGGCATGTCCAGCTCAGTTTTTGTGGCTGTGGGTTGGCCTTACCCCTTTCCTGGCTTGACTGGGGGCTCTCTTGGCCTTGCATTTGGGTCTGTAGGATATGGCAGGATGGGGCAGTATTTGTTGTATCCATGTTCATGGTTAAAAACCACCAGCCCTTTCTCTGGTAGATTAAGACACTGGGGTCCTAGCCGTGTGGTTGACCAGGACAAGACCATCACAGGTTTCTTTGTAGCTTTTGCACAAGGCCACCTTCTATTCTGAGAGACCAGCCTGCAGTAAACCCATATAATTTAAGTTTAATTGTTCCCTGTAAGTAATGTCTTTTCTCTGTCTGCTTTTACTATCTCTTTGCAGTGTTTTGATGTTTGTTTATATAGGGATGTCTTTCTATTCATCCTGATTGGGGTCCTAAAGCTGAAATAGTTTTGGAACTATCTGGGGCCAAGCCTTTAGCTCTTGGAATACTGCTTTTCCTTGTTCTTTTATGCCTTATAACTACTCTTTAATATTTATTTTTCTGTGTTGTATTGTGAGTTATTTAAATCCATCTTCTAATTTACTAATTTTCTATCTAGTTGCCTAATTATCTATTCCATTATTTTAAGTTCAATTATTGTATTTTTACATTTCTAGTTTTATTTGGGTCATTTATAACTGCCTGGTCATTTTTTGTATCATTTTTTATTTTTCAATTACAGTCGACATACAATATTACATTAGTTTTAGGTGTACCCCACAATGATTAGACATTACATAACTTACTAGATGATCATTCTGATAAAAGTGTTAATAGTGAGCATTTTACATTGAGCTCTAGCAGGTTAGCCGATGATTCATTCTTGTTCATGGATTTTAAAATGTAGAACGGGCCAATAAGAGTTGCTGGTTACGATATTAAACTGGTTCCTGTTCTTGTTATTTTTAATTGTGAGTTATTTTTCTTTTGGTTCAGATTTTTTTAATGAGCAATATCTTATTTCATGGGTGTAATTTCTTCTTTGTAAGGATATTAATTATAGTCCTTTAGCCTTTTCTTCTGTTCTCTACATTGTCTTCAGTCCTTCAAATTGTGTTCTTCTGCTTGTTTTGGTTTAGTTCTTTCATGTTAGAGGCTGGTGATCGTGAATTGTCCATTCATATTGAAGTGTGAAGTGTGTAATTCCATGTCACTCTGGGCAGGCCTTAGCTGTTGCTCTTCTCTATGGGACGATGTTGTAGAGAACCTGGCTCTTTCAAAAATCCATAGGTCTTTTTTCTCCTGCTATTTAGTTTTTTCCAAAAAACAACCCAACAGACTGCTGCTGGAAGTTATAAAGTAATGATTATAAATACGAAATCTGACTGGCTATTTATTTATTTACTTTTGGCATAGCCAGCTGGTCTGTGTCCTGTTTTTTTGTTTGTTTGTTTTGCTTAATCACCCTCTTTTCTCTCCATAGCCCTGCTTTCCCTGTGCTGATGTGTAGTTTGAAGCCTCTTGTTCAATTTTTCTATAGAAAAACCATGTGCCAGAGTGCGATAGGGATAACCATCAAGGGAGGAACCTAGACCACTCCTCATTCAGGCTCTGCGTCCTCCACCCCATGCTTCATCCTGCCTCCTTAGGACTGAAACCTGCAACTTTGGACTTTCTGGAAGACCTGAGACTGGTCTTGGTTTTCTCCTAATTCGGACCTTCTCTGGAGGCATCTGCTTTTCTGGTTTCAGATCACTCCTGATTCCTCCTCTCTGCTTTCCATTTCTTACTAATTTGTTGAGATCTCTCATCTGCTTTTATGTGTCTGTAATTTTCTTTAGTCTGTGGGTTTTACCATTGAAAAAGTGTTTTGTTCCCCTTTTTAAAGTGGAGTTTCCAGAGGAAACAGAAATAAATGTTTCATCTAAATATCTTCCTCCATCACACACCAGACCTTCACGACCCATCTTAAGTCCCTCACTTTTCCTGAAAGCTTTTCCCCGTAACTCTAGATGCTGTTGGTATTTCCTGCTTCTTACCATAAAACAAACAAAACATTTGTTTGCAGTTCTTTGTCATATATTTGTTTCTGTGGCCATACAACTAAATTTGTACTTTTCCTTATCACCTTAATTTGTTTTTAAAAGTTTAAAGCACTCAAAACTTTAAAAAGAACTATATCTTGAATTCCATTCAGTTCAGTTTACTTATTTATTAAACACTCATTGTGTACAAAGCGTTAGATTGGTTATTACAGGGGCTATTGTAGGAGTAGCAGGATAAATTCATCTAATCACAAGTCTTAATGTTTGAGGGTTTCTGTGTGGTGGGGAAGAAATGGGGAAACAGGATCAAAACTCCTCAGGTGGGAAAGCTCCAAGTTTTTTCAGGCAAGAATAAATTTTATGTCATGAAATTTTGGGTTTTTCTAAAGAAAAAGTAAATCTGCCTGGTAAAATATTTATTTATTTATTTATTTATTTATTTATTTATTTATTTATGGCATAGCCAGTTGGTCTGTGTGTTGTCTCCTCCCTACTGGATAGCGAGGAATGTCTGGCATATAATCTACCCTTAATAAGCATTTGCTGATTTAATAAATGGAAAAGCGCTTTGGCAATGGATGCTTTAAATATTCTGCTTTCTTATACTTAAAAAAAAAAATAAACATGAGGTATCTTCCTGCCCCTCAATCTAGGTTTTCCTTGCTCCTTCTTAACTTGGAGGAATACTTCTTCGAGCAGCATACAGCTCATCATATTCAGCATAAGGGCAGTCAGAAGGAAAGGTAAGGAAGATTTTGGTATCTCTATGGATTAACAAACCTTTCTGTTGTCTGATGTTTTTAAAATTAAATGTATGATCATGGAGGTTTTTTTCATCCCTTCGTTCGTATTGGGAACATAATGAGAAGAGGGGGGTTTATAAGTTGTTGTCACACTTCGAATATTTTCTAAAGCTAAGAATCAGTGTGTACTAATTCCTTCAAGGTTGTGAGTACCTCAGATCAACTGGCTAGGGCTCTGATTCATTCCATCACTTTTTTCTTGATCCCTTTTGTACTTATACACTCAATTATTTGGGTTATGGTGTTATAAAGTAATGATCATAAAACACAGAATGGTATAAAAATCAGTACCTTCAATTTTAAAAATGTTCTTTAAGAAATTCTGGATAATAAACACAGAGGAATGATAAAAATTTCAATCTCCAATGAGTAATGGAGATACATTCATTAGGTAGATGCAAATTACAGCTCTTAGGTAAAAACATTTATTTTGTAAAAGTTTTATTGAGACACACACACACTCATTTGTTTATGTATTGTGTGTGGTTGGTTTCCTCTACAATAGCAGAGTTGAATGCTGTGAGAGTTGAATGCATATGGCCTGCAAAGGAAAAAAATATTTACTATCTGGCTCTTCATAGAAAACGTTTGCTAACTGCTGATATAGACAGAATCTTCAATGGCTGCTAAACCAGCAGGTGAAAAGCTGCTGAGAAATTTTATAGTGGATACGTCAAGGTTGACATCACCTGAACCCACCGAGCCTCCTGATATGGAGTACATGTGCACTGCCTCTGAAGCATTCTTGATAGTCCTTAAAATTGCTTATAATTATGGATCAAATTTTTTCCTGAATTCCTACATATCCCAAAGTCACCATTAAAAGCACTTTATGAGATAAATTCAAACTGTTTATAATTTTTCCATTATGATAAGTAAAAAAAATCTCTTACATGGTCAATTTTATATATTTAGTGTTGCCTTCTGAATAGTTCTTTTAGATATAGGGAATTAAAAGTCAAAAGGATTTACTAGAGACAGGGTAGAATCAGTGTGTCTTAGGGATCAGTTTTCTGATCCTCATTTCCTTTCAGTGTAGTTGTGAATTCCAAATGACATCATACAAATGAAGTGCATGTGACAGAGCTCACCAAAATTAGAATACATGCAGGTTTTGTTAACCTCTAGGAGATGAGGACAATTATTTTGCTATATTTTTCAACCTTTCATACCCTTCTCTTTAATTTTGTTGTTGATCTTTTATTAGTTGATGCTTTAGCCAACTACTCTCTCCTTAAAATGTATTATGATTCTTTTGTGACTTTTGTTAATGTTCACTAATAGTAATCCTTTGTACTTTTATCTCTAGGAGAGTCAGAGGCTCCTTAAAAATATGTTCAAAATCTGTTATTTTTGAACCAGATGCGATATCCCAGCCCATCATTAAGGTAAATGCATTGTAAAACATAGAGACATTTCTATTCTTTGTGTATATGTTACCTTTGCTTATTTTTACATTTCTCTCTCGATTTTATCCAGATTCCTTTGAGAGATTGTATAAAAATAGGAAAACATGGAGAAAATGGAACCAATAGACATTTTGCAAAGTATGTCATCATCACTAACTGTTTGATTTCATGTCTGCCAAAACAGTATATATGTTTAATAACTTTTATCTGCATTTTAGGGCAAAATCGGGGGGGATTTCACTCATTTTCAGTCAGGTAAGAGTAACATAGTAAATGTTTTGTTCTAATCTGAATGAACACTTTGCTTGTGTGTGTGTGTGTGTGTGTGTGTGTGACTGTGTGTGTACGTGTGTGCGTGCAAGCGCGCACACGCACATGTGGGCTTAAGCATAATTAAATTATTTGTAGGAATCTCAAATGGAGGTCGTTGGAATAAATGTTTGAATGCTTTTGAATAATCATTGAGAAATATATATTTTAAAAGATGTGATCCCTAATGAGATCCTTAATGTTTACTAAGTGTGTGATAGCCTGCAGGCTTGTGGTTTCATCTTTAGGAGTCCTGGCCATGTTTGAGGGTTGAAATGAAAGGACTGTGGTTCCTCCTATGGCCTCCTCGTCATTGAGAAGGTGGAGGCCAGCACACCACTTACATGATCTCAGCCTGAGGCACGCTGGCAGCCAAGGCAGTGACTCGGGATGTGTAACCTTGTATAATTATGACGCTTGGGGTCATGACTTGCTATTCATTCCAAAGTCACTTGATATGCATTTATGCACTCAGCACTGTGTCTAATACTGGCAATACAGAAATAAAGTGAAACAGGGCTCTTCTCCTGTTATATACTTAATTTGTCTGTAGATATTTGAAAAATTGGAAATAAGAATGGAGTAGAGATCGTCTACCACTTTCCTTTGCCTCTGACTTCACCTTCATCTTTAAAATGAAAGGGTTAGAGGAGATCAATGTTGCCTCAACTATCAGTGAGAGCCCTAGTTCCTTGAAGTGTTCAAAGAAAAATCTTTCTGTGATCAAGTAAGTGTAGGAAACGCTGTGGGAACAAAGACACACAGACTCGGGACTTGACTCAAAAGCCTTAACATACAGGAGTGCATTGAGAGTCCAGGAGGCGAATGGTTAGGGGCAGAGGGTGCTCCCAGCGGTTTTCACATCGCCAGAACCTTTGATCATGGAACACTTTTTCATGTCTACTGACGAGTCAGTTATAAAAGCTGGGAGATATCAGATTATGTGATTTTCTGTATCTGTATCCATGATTCCATTGATTTCAAGGAAGAAAACATTTCACAGGCTACCTTGGACTTTATGCTTTGTAACTGGCATATATGAAAAACAGTTACAGCCATCTATTACTCTGGGGAAGGAACACCATTATTATTAATTCTGGGCTGCCCCTGTGCTCTCCTTACTTCTACAGTATCATTCTGCATCTTTGCCTTATTCTAGAAGGTCTGTATCTCAAAAGGAAGAAGTACTTTCTTGGTTTCCGCTAGAAAAAAATACACATTTTGGTAAAATTTTAATAACTGGGCTTAGAAATAAAGCCCCCAAATCCTTCCACCTATTTTTAATAGTTTGTAGAAAAGGTCTTATATTAAACAAACTCAAAATCAGCTTAACACTAGGGGGTGACTAGGCACAAGCTACTCTCTCAAGTATCATTTAAAGCTTCCTGGTTAAGTACACAACCTAGAAATATAACTTTTATGTTTTTTATTATTTATTAGGTCACAATGTTTCAGGAACACAATAGTCTCCCCTTATCTGTGAGGGATACATTCCAAGACCCCCTGTGGATGCCCGAAACAGCAGATAGTACTGAACCCTACATATGCCGTATTTTTTTCTATGCATCATATGCTTGCACTTAAAGAAACTTTACAGCTTCATTTGGCATCTCTGAATTGTCAGCATCGCTGCTCTTGTGCTTTGGGGCCATTAGTAAGTGAAATAAGGGTGACTTGAGCACAAGCACTTGAATTCCACGACAGTTTTCTGATAACCGAGGAAGCTACTTGGTGCCTAAGGGTGGGCAGCATGTACCGCGTGGCTATACTGGACCAAGGGGCCATTCACGTCTGAATGGTGTGGAGCAGGAGGGTGTGAGGTTTCATAATGCTCCTTAAAACAGCACACATTCTAAACTTATGAATTGTTTATTTTCCATTTAATATTTTCAGGCCAAGGTTGACTGCAGGTCATTGAAACCGCGGAAAGTGAAACCTTGGAAAGAGGGGGTGACTGTATGTTAGGTCCCTTGGATTTAGAGAGTTTGGCTTCCAAATGTTCTCTTACTGGCAGAATAAAGAGGGTGTGTGTGTGAATAATAGTTGTAATTCATGCACCCTGTTAGTGTCATACTCAAGGTTTTAGAGATATAGGGAAGAACAAAATATCTGGAGCTCCTCTCCCCTTGGATTTTACTTTTCATGAGGGAAAACAGACAAGAATCAATTATCTTCTATAATGTCAGGCAGCGATACATGTCATGAAGAAAATGAAAACGGGACAAAGGGATAGAATATGACAAGGGACACGTGCTCCTCTGGATAGAATGGTCAGGGATGCCTAGATGAGAAGGTCCCTCCTCTCAGAAGGCGTGAGGGAGCGAGCCCTGCGACCATCATAAGAAATGGTGTTTGGGGGCAGAGAGTAGCCTGGGAGAGGCCCTGAGATGTGAATGTCTCCGGCAGCTGGGAGGCGGCAGCTGGGAGGCGCAGTGAGGGTGTGGGTGCAGCCTGGACCGTGGGAGTCAGAGTGCTGGGAAGGGAGGTGAAAGCAGTGGCAGAGACCAGGTCACGGAGGGCCTTGGGGCCAGTCAGGAGTTAGACTGAAACACCAAAGAAAAGTCCCTAGACAGAGGAGGGACGCGATCTGACTTGTGTGTGTGTGTAGATCTCTCTGGAGGCCAGCTGGAGGATATGCTGTTGGGGCGAGTGTGTGTGAAGCAAGGAGACCCATTGGTGTCAGAAACCCGGCGTTTTAGAGCAGGATGGTAGCAGAAGAAGGGCGAGGTGGTCAGATCTGAAGAAAAAACTAACAGGTGTGCGCTGGGCTAGTTGCAAGTGAGAGGAGAATCGTCAGGAATGACTGGCGAGGTGGGTGGTCGTGCCCTTTGTTGTGGTGAAGGAGCAGCTTTGCTTGGAATGTGACCTCTCAGAGGAGAAGTCTGGCAGCATTTACTAGTGGAAGCACCGGTCTGGGCTTCAGAGAAGCTGGAGGTCAGCAGGTTCCAGATTCCTTTCTAAGCCCTGGGACTGGATGAGGTTTCCCAGAGACAAGTGTGGGCAGAGAGGCCTGGGAAGGCCCTGCCGCTCTCTGTAACCTCAGAGGCAGGGGAGAGAGAGAGAGAGAGAGAAAGAACACGCAGGATCAGAAGGAAGACCAAAGGAGCAGCGGGTGAGGTCGGGAGAACCAGGAGCAGGTGCCTGGGGAGCCAAGTGCAGCTGCGCCAGGGAAGAGCCATCAGCTCTGTCACATGCTCTGGGAAGCTGGTCCAGGGCGCCCTGCGGAGGGACGCTCGCTGGATTTGGTGACGTGGAGATTTTGTGCATCTTCTGTGACCTTCCAGGAATGTTCTCAGTCACATGGTCCGGGTGGAAACCTGTCCTGGGCCCAAGAGAAAGTGAAGTGGCTCTTGTATAGAGTTTTACCACAGAAAGGAATGGAGACATGGCAAGGGGATGTGACCCCCTGGAGAGGCTTTTTTTTTACTGTGGTTTGTTTCCAATGGGAGAGAGTGCAGTGTATCATCACGGGAGCAAAGTGAATGGCTGCTGGGTTGGGGGGGGGTTCATATCTGGCCCTAGGAGGGTGCCTGGTCTGGGAGCCGGCAGACCCTCCTCCCCAGCAGGAGAGAAGGCAGGCAGAGAGGTACCCGTGTGAGGACATTGCTGGATCTGGCAGATGGTGTTGCTTGTTTGACACAGTTACTAACATGCAGGGTAAGGACAGGTGGCCGGTAAGAACACGGTGCGACCAGATCGCCTCCAGGGAAGACAAGTTTCTTGGTGGTAATGAATGTATTTCATGCCCAGTGATTTGTTTTACCCGTTGTTTTTTTTAGAAAACCGGTAACTTCCTTCACCTGTCTGCTTGGTTACTTGGTACCAGTGATGCCTTGTTGCCTTGATGCATTTCTTTTTAATTTAATATTTGTTATTTTAACATCAGAATCTTAAAACTGCACTGATATTAATGTAAGTGATTTTGGAAAGTGGAGATTGTGTAACAATGATTTAAATTCAGTTCATAATTGAATTTATAGTAATGTATGACTATGAAAAATTTTATTTTACAAATATTGATTTGATTTTCTCAGGTATATTTCATTAAAGAACACAACATTGTTGCACCATATAAAATAGAAAGAGTAAGTAAAGCTTTTTATTTATTCCCAGGAATTAATATAGTGCTTTTGAACAATAAGGTTTTGTAACTCTGTTAACATCTTTATTAAAATATAATAATAATGGGTATTTCAAAGCTTGTCACCTCACAGTTATGACAAAATTACCCAAGAGAATCACAGATTTTAGTCCAAGAGATTTCAATGAACTTTTTGACTTAAAAAAGTATTTAATAGATAAAAAAGAGCTTAGGTTATTAGAATAGAAATTGAAATCAAACATACATCATTTTTAAGATTACTGCATATTGGTGAGAATTTATTTTTTGAGAAATATGGGTTTTAATACCCTTATTTGAGAGCTCAGTAATAATTTATAAATTCTCTTAATTGGGTGGAAGCTATGAGTAGACTTGAATACAGTATCTGTTAAGTAAGCTTAGAAATTACATTTAACCATTCTGTGTTTTATTTCATTCCTTATGATGCAGCTTAATGTATAGTAAAGGGATAATTTTACCAGGACCTGGCGTCAGGGCCAGTGCTCCTTATGCTGACACCTCTGTGAATTAGGAAAAGTCGCCCTCTCTGGGCAAACACAGGCTGATCTCAGGCCAGTTCAGGCCAGCCCGCAGTTTCTCAGCCAGCAGCCTGTGGGATGCATGAGCTACGTATGTGGTGGCCTTTGGGTTTTATAAACAAGGAGTAGTTCATGCACCAGTTAGTCCAAAACTACAAATACTGAGATGTAATGAGGTGGTGCTGTTGGCATTTTGGGCAGGATAGTGCTTTATTGGGTGGGGCTGTCCCTCATACAGCCTATTCCCACCCACGGAAAGCCCTAATACACTGTTTCCCCCATTGTGTGTGGCACCACACGCCCCCCTCCCAAGTTGAGAACCACTGCCTGGGGTGCTCCCCCTCTGAAGGCTCTCCTGATAGCCACCTTGTTGTGCAAAGCTGCACTCCGGCTGTGGAAAAATTAGGTCAAAGGAAATGAGTGAGGTTGAAGCAAAGAAGTCTTTTATTCCGATGTGAATTAGAAAGCCAAGGATCCTCAGATTTAAAAAAGGGGGGAGGTAGTGACATCAACGGTGATGTCGGGTAGGAAGCCCCAGACCCTTATTCCTGTCATGGAGAGACTTCAACAACCATACACGGACCAGTTCCCTTCATGAGCAACTCAAAACCAATGAAGAGCCTGCTGCACCACAGGTCAGCCTCACTGAAGCTGGCAGGAAAATTGGTAGCGCCCCCAGCACAGTGCCATGGGACTGAGAGGCAACGCCCAGCTCCCGCCTTCTCCTGGGGAGGGAACGACAACCCTGGACCATATGTCCACTGTTCTGACTTCGGGGGCAGCTGCCTGAGGGACTGGCTTCTGTCTTGCCTGCCTTGGAGCATTGACAGTACCCAGCCTGGAACCACTGAAAGCAAGAGTGCGTGGGGCATCACGCTGCTGCCCCCGAGGCCCTGAGGTCAGCACACAGAGGCCTGTGCAGCGAAGCAGACTCTCCCTCAGGGGCAAGGCAAAAGGAGAGCATGGGACACACAGAATTAACCATCACAACATATAGGCATCCCACCTCAATATGTGCACCCACACATATGAAGCCAACATTGACAGAATTGGAGGGAGGCATTGACGGCAACACAGTCATAGTAGACTTCATGCCCCACTTCAATAATGGATAGAACATCCCGATAGAAGATGAATGAGGAAACGGAGGACTCAACACTATCAGCCAAATGAGCCTAACAGACACATAGAGAACATTCTTCCCACCAGCACCAGAATACACATGCTTAAGTACACGTGGAACATGCTTCGGGGTTGATCACATGTTAGGTCACAATACAAGTTTTCTGTTGATTTTTAGAGAGAGGGGAAGAGAGAGAAACACTGATGCAAGAGCACAACATTGATCTGCTGCCTCCTGCACATCCCCCACTGGGGACTGATCCCTCAACCTGGACATGTGCCCTGACCTGGAATCAAACCGGCAACGTTTCAGTGCATGGAACAATGCCTAACCAACTAGCCGCCCTGGCCAGGGCCGAAACAAGTTTTAATGAATTTAAGAAGATTGAACTCATACCAAGTATCTTTTGCATCCACAATGAAGCAAAACTAGAAATCCATAGCAGAAGGCAAATTCACAAGTATGTGGAAATTGGCGCTCTTGAGCAACCAGTGAGTCAACGGAGAAATGTAAAGGGAAATTTAAAAATATCACAAGACAAACAAAAAGACAACATATCAAAACTTACAGGATGCAGCAAAAGCAGTACTAAGAGGGAAGTTTATAGTGATAAGCACCTACATTAAAAAAGAAGGATCTCAAATGTTCAAATCTAACTGTATACCTCAAGGAACTAAAAAAAAGAACAGCAAACTAAGCCCAAAGTTAGCAGAAGCAAGTGCAGAATAAATAGAGCAGTAAATCCGATGGGCCCTGCTCCCCGGAGCTCTCATTCTGGGTGGCGTGAGGGAGGACACACCAGGCGGATGCATGTGGCCTTCAGCCAGGGATTTGCAAATGCTCTTCACGCGAGGGTTGGACATGCTTCATCTCTTCCTCTGTTTTTATCCCTTTCTCTTCTTGGTAGGGCAGAATGGAATATGTCTTTGAATTGGATGTTTCAGGGAAAGTGGAAGATGTTGTGGAGACGTTGCTTCAGGTAAGCCAGTGCCTAACTCAGGCATTTACTGGGCTGAGAATTCAAAACAAACTCAGGCAGAAACTTAAAAATTTTATATGTATACATCTTACTGAAACCCTAATCTCTTTTATAAACATGAATCAGATTTACTTGATGATGTTGAATTTGAAAACTGTATATTAGGAAGAAGCCATACATACATCAGAAGCGATCTTAACTGTTACTAAGTAACAGAATGCTTGCTGTTATTTCATTGCTTCTAAGAAAATATCTTTATATCGTCTGAGAGAAAAAATAAATTCATGTATATTTATAATATTGTAGCTTCACAGAGCATCCTGCCTTGACAAACTAGGGGACCAAACTGCTATGGTAAGAGTTTCTGAAGATCTGTATCTTTATTATGAATTAACTTGTATTGATTTTTACTTATAAATACTTATATCCATACTTTATAAATGGTTCTGTTTTCATAGATAACAGCTATTTTGCAGTCACGCTTGGCGAGAACATCATTTGACAAGAACAGGTAAGTGTTTAATGATTTTGCTTACTGGTTATAAAAGCAGTGGACATCTTCATCTGTTTGCCTCGCTCAGCATGGCCACACTGATGCTGTCATCCTCCTCACCCCACACCTGCTTATCTGAGGGAATGGCCCACCTCAGTGCAGGAGCCGGGTCAGGGGCTTCCTCCACTCTCTCCATCCTGGCACCTGTCAGTCAGAAAGGCCAGTAGGTGACCTAACATCCTGTCTGTCAGCTTGCCTTTTCCCACTGTTACTGCCTCAGTCCAGGCCACCATCACCTCCCACTCCGAACACTGTGACAGCTTCTAGCCTGTCTGCCTGACACCAGTCTTCCCTTCTCCAATCCCCTTTTCCCCACGGTACCTATTGTACTTTTAAAATATGTTCTTCTGCCCCAGCCGGTTTTGCTCAGTGGATAGAGCATCAGCCCATGGACTGAAGTGTCTCAGGTTTGATTCCGGTCAAGGGCATGTGCCTCGGTTGCAGGCCACTGGGGGCAGCAACCAATCGATGATGCACCTCTCTTCCATCGATGTTTCTCTCTGTCTCTCTTCCTCCCCTCCACTCTCTAAATATCCATGGAAAAATGTCCTTGGGTGACAATTAACAAAAAATAATAAGTTAAATAAATAAATAGAATATATGTTATTTCTAAAGAATGTACTTAATTGTATCACTGGTTTGTTTAAACTCTTCAAGACTGCCCATTGCCTTCAGGGTAAAATCTTAATCTTAGTTGGCGCACAGTCCACTTATGTTCTAGTCCTTGTTCACGACTTCCAGTCACTGCTTGCTCTTGGGTTCCATGCTCCAGCTCTGCAGTGCATGCAGTCCCTGAGTGAGCCACATGGTCTCTCCCCTCCGGGACTTAGTGCGTGTTCCCTCCGCTAAGAGTACTCAGCTCTTTTGCACCTGGCTAACTCTTTCTGATTCTTCTGATTTTAGCTTATCTGTCAGTGTTTCCAGAAAGTCTTTCTTGGCCTTCAAATTGTGATAGGTACCTTGCAGAGGTATCCTATGGGGCCCAAGAGACTACATTTTTATTGGTCTAATGTGGGTTTTTAAAATTATTATTGATTCTCTTAGCTTTTCTAAGTGTACAGTGTATTTTCTGAAAACAGTTATACTTTAATCCTAACCTATTCTCTATTTGACTGTCTAAATAATTGACAGTGGGCTAGTCGAGAAATCATCTTTATTTGATTAGTTTTACTGTAGTAAATCCACAAAAGAATGTACAGTTGACCCTTAACAATGTGGGAGTTAGGGGTGACAACCCCCGCATAGTCAAAACTTAACTACTCATAGCTACTGTTGACCCAAAGCCTTACTGATCACATGAAGTCGATTAATGCATATTTTGTACGTTATATGTATTATATACTACACAATAAAGTAAGCTAGAGAAAAGAAAGTGTTATTAATAAAATCATAAGGAAGAGAAAACACATTTACAGTATTTATTGAAAAAAATCATTAGTTAAGTGGATCCTTGTAGTTCAAACTGTGTTGATCATGGGTCAGCTGGACTTCAGAACTGACATTCACGTTATTGTAATTGTGTATTCATAGTCTTATGAAGTGTAGTGTGAAATAAATGCTACCTATTCAAAAATGGCCTATATGACTATGAAAGTAGGCCTTAATGACAGAAAAAATAGAAAATGTTGGTAATTTAAGAGTAGTTTCTACGTCAGTTTATTTTAAGCTTATGGGTTATTTGGCTTCATTTCTCTGTCTTTCCTTCTGCAGTACATAACCTCACCTGTTTTTTAAAAATTGAATTTTCATTATACCATTTAAAAGAATGTCAGTTTTATTTGTGACCGATTTTTGTGATGCTCACCAAACCCTCCAGTAGAAGCAGTACTGATTTATATTACCATTTATTTTGTAGAAAGTCGGTATTTAGACAAATCTTATGCAAAGTCACACTGTAACTCTCTTAGGTAAAGTTAAACCTAGAAAGTAGATCGATTTCTGATTCCTTTTTTTTTTTTTTGCTTTTGCTGAAATTATCAGGTTCCAAAGTGTTTCTGAAAAGCTGCACATGGAATGCAAAGCAGAAATGGTGACCCCTCTGGTGACAAACCCCGGACATGTGTGCATCACTGACACCACCCTGTATTTTCAGCCCCTCAATGGGTACCCGGTACGTGACGACTGCAGTGCAGGTGGAGACCCCGTTAGCACTGGGCCCTTCACCTTACGCTCTTTCCTGTGAACTTGACCTCACCATCACAGTGTTCTCACATTTTGGTGAGGATCAGAATGACCTCCCCGGCCCCTCCCCCGCCTGTGTCTGTAACAGGCTCCCTGAGGAATCTGGGTGTGAGCTCTTCTGATCTGTTTTCCTTTCGGGGTCACTTGCTCTCAGTGCTGTGAAAAGAAACCCTGCTCCTCCGACTTTAATAGAGGGTCATGAGAGCATTCTACCTTTCTACTCGGAGGCACTTCTGCAGGAGACAAATGAAATACATTAAGATTAAGAAGAAATGTTTTCTGTATATCTGCTTACATATATGCCTGTGTTGGTACTTCTTGTTTTTCCTTTATTACCAAGTCAGGAAATCTGAATCTTTCCCAAAAAGGCAGTGGGAATGGTCCTGGCCCCGCCAGAGCAGGCGCACACAGCGATGCTCAGGGGGCAGCTGCAGGGCGCCTCTGTGGCGGTGGAACTAGTCTCCCTTTCACAGCGACGTTAGACTTCCTAGGCCGATAAGCGAAAATAATGCAGATCTCCGCACTACATGTTATAGAGATGGGTTGCTTTATCTAGATCTAGCCCCTTTTGGGAGTGGCTCACTGAAGGAACAGAAATCCTAATATGCTCTAATGGTGCCATTGGACCATTTAGCAGGGAAGTTTAAAGAACAGGAGTGTCTCCTGCCACAGGCTATACTCTGGAAATACTCCAGGCTGGTCAGTCATTATATGGCACTGAAACTTCTAATACTTTTCTAAGTGAAAGATAATGCTGTAATAATTCTGTCCACCAGGTGGTGGGGCACGCTTGCCAAACCCTCCAATAGAAGCAGTACTCATTGCTGATGGGCATTCTCTAGCCATGCAATAAAATTGGCTTACCCACTACTATTATCATAGCTCAGGGTCAAAAGCTTTTGGAAAAATATGAGTATGTGCCATAGCTTCAGGATTCATAGTATGAGCATTGATCCCTTCCACTCAGAAATAGGAAAAGAAACTTGTCACCTTTTACCCAATCTCATTGCCCTTTCTAACCTCATTCATCTCTTACTAGCATTTTAAGGTTTTAAAGAAGCAAGAAAATTACCCTCCTTATGAAAGAAAAAGTTTTGAAGCCCTGCTTTATACTATAATTGTTTGTGAGCCTTAATACACTATAGTTTTTAAGGAGACAAAAGACAAGATTCTAAAATAAGATGAGTGAGGACTAAGGAAACCATTGCCCTATAAAAGAATAGCAAAATTCCCGAGAGGTTATCTATAACCAATCCTCCTTTTAAAAAATGTTTTTATTGATTTTTAGAGAGTGAGGAAGGGAGAGGGATAGAGAGAAATATTGATGAGAGAAAAACATAATCAGTTGGCTGCCTCCTGCACACCCCCTTCCTGGGGATTGAGCCCGCAACCCAGGCATGTGTTCTGACTGGGAATCGAACTAGTGACCTCTTGGTTCATGGGTGGATGCTCAACCACTGAGCCACACCAGCCAGGCTCTAGACCAATCCTTTAGCATTTTATAACACTTAATCACCTTGCGATAACCTGAAAGATGGACGAATTACCATATTTTTGGTGCCGAATGGAGGTAGGGAGACTTGTCCAAGGTCACAAAGCAAAAAAGGGCAGGCTGGAGTGTTAAACCAGATACGCCTCGTTTAAGATCTCCCTTTCCAGTTGTTCACCTTGTAACACATCAGGAAGGCAAGTCTTGGTCATTTGATTCCGCTTTCTGATACTAAAGATCAACTTCTAATTGTGTCAGAATGTTGACCTTTGAGATAGTCTTTTTACTTTTACAGAAACCTGTGGTCCAGATCACACTCCAAGACGTCTGCCGCATTTACAAAAGGAGGCACGGCCTCATGCCTTTGGTGAGTTCAAGTGGAATGTCAGTTCTAGGTGAATGATTGTCCTAGTTTCAGTTTAACCAGTGAATTATTAATGTATAATAATACACTGGGCAGAGGCTCAATGCAGGAGCTGCCCCCTGGTGGTCAGTGAACTCCCATGGCCAACCTCCCACGGCCAGCCAGCCTCCCACAGTTCCTCCCCCTGGCCGGCCAGTCCTGATCAGCCCCAATCACTGGCCAGGCCAAGTGATGCCACCTGTGCACAAATTTGTGCACCGGACCTCTAGTTAATGTATAAACACCTATGGCCTGTCTGAGAAGTGTAAGTATGCTGTATTGTAAGTAAGTGGACTTTGGGTCATGCTCTTTCTTTTGGATGAGCTAGAAATTTATAAAGGAATAACCCCTTTCTCTTCACAAGAAGGCTGCCGTGGGGAATGTTTTTGGCTCTAAGAGCAAGAGGGATGGGGTGCACTGCCTTGAGTTCCTCACTCCTGTGTACTCAGAGTTCCTGGGGTTATGCAAGGATAATCTATGCAGAGCAATCCAGTGTGACTTGCACCGTTTGCTCATAGCAGCTAGATCTCAGAGTAAAATTCGGAAGCTAGTACAAAATTAACTCTTCAGTGGGTCTGTAGTGTCTTTGGTTAGCTTAGAGTAATTCAGCCTTCAGCTTGGAAGGGAGAGAAATGAACAAAATAACCTACCATTCCCCTAGGGAGGCATATGTCCATACTTATGTTAGTCTTACATGCTGACCTTGGAAACCAATCCCCACATAAGGCGTGATTCCAGGGTGTTTCAATTTGACATCAGTATAAATTCATTTGTTCTTCTTTGAAGATTAACCAGTCACCTGGTAGGTAGCATTACCAAAGCACTGTTGCATATTAAGCTCCTCATTTTTGTTTCATATTTGTGAAATTTGCCTTTTCTACCTATTTAACTTAAAAGGATACTCTTCATTTCTAGTGCTAATAGAGAATTATGGACGCATACTATTGAAAATCTCCTCCTGTGGGTATAAAGACACAGTCAGAAAAATAGTAGAAATTGACATTAAGTGTCTTCTGTGTACTGGGCAATTTATGTACAATATTTTATTATCATGACAGTCCCTGTGAAGTAGATGATATCCTATTTTATAAAGAAATTGAGATTCTAAGAGTTAATTTCCTCTGTTCCTTAACTAGTAAATGGTAAAAGCCTGTATTTGAACCAAGAACAAGTCTGCTTTTGTCATTTGTCTATTCCTGTCCTATCTCAGGCTTATCAATACAACATTCACAAAGCTCATAGTTTTCTTAATTACTGCAAGTCGCCCTGCCCGGTGTGGCTCAGTTGGGTGGGCATCGTCCTGCCTGTTCTATTCCCAGTCAGGGCACATGCCTGGTTGCTGACTCAGTCCCCAGTAAGGCACGTGCAGGAGGCAGTCTCTCATCAATGTTTCTCTCTTCCTCTCCCTCTTCTTTCTTCTGTCTCTAAAATCAATAAAAACATTTTTAAAAAAATAACTGCAAGTTATTAGTTGAATAGCTATTCAATTATCGGTTTGTTAGATTGGCATAATAATTTAATTATAATAGAAAGCTAAACATTTATTTTTGAAGATGTGTGAAGACATGGATCAGCCAATTTTGAATTTCAAAATACTAAATTCACAAAAGGTATTATCAATAAAAAATAATCAACACTAAAAGGGATTTACAAAATTTAAAGATACAAGTCTTGTTCTCAGGAAATTTATATGCATATGCATTGCTGAATCAAATTTAAAGCTGGAGAATATGAATACAAGAGCTACAAGTTAAAAATGTAGATGTTTAATTGGAAGGCTTTTGTGATTGTATAGCTTATATTGCAATTGTAAGATTAATGAAATGCTACTTGTTTTATTCTTTTCTTTCTGAATTTATAGGGATTGGAAGTGTTTTGCACAGAAGATGACCTGTGTTCTGACATCTACCTAAAGTTCTACGACCCTCAAGATAGAGATGAACTCTATTTTTATATTGCCACATATCTAGGTCTGGTGTTCACCCTTCATTGTTCTATTCGTATGAAGGTAGTTCAACTCCTAAGTAACCAGGATAGGAAATAAGAGAAGGAAAAAGAAAAATGCTGGATCTAGAATCGCCTCTCTGTGGTTCTACCCATTGCTTCTTCATAGTAACTACAGTTGGCAAGATGGCATTTTAAAAAACTAAGGGAAACATAACTGAATTTTGGTAATAATAGTTCATTGTGCATTTTAAAAACTTGATAAAAATATTTAAATTTTTTTGGATTTTAACAACACACAAATTGAGTGGATTATAAAGACTCCACTTAATTATTTCTATGTCCAGTCATGTCTTGTATTAGTTTATGAAAACCACGATTCAGTTCCTTAATGTGAGAGGCAGTGAACTCTCCAGTCATATGTTTGGGTTCATTAATTGTGGCCTTAATCCCGAACCTAGAAAACAACACAAAAGAAACACGTGAACCTCGAGGCTTAATATAGTACCCATGGGACTGAATTTGCTTTTAATTAATATTTCCTCAGTCTTGCATGGAAAGTGTGAATTTTCCCACCCTTGTTAGAGGGAACACCTGTATTTTTCTTTTCACGCGTAAATATATTAATTTGTATGGCTGACTGTAATTATTCTTGTTTACAAAGTTGCTAGATGACTAGAATAGAATGATTTCTAAAAATAGATGTTGGGATTTTATTAATACCATCTTAATTTCGTTTGCTCTTCTGGTGTACAGTGAAGCCATTTCTGAGATCTATAGCGAAAACAAACTGTACCCTACTTTTATTTTTCTTAAAATACATTTTTTAAGAATGCATTGAAAAGACTACACTTAAAGTAGCTAGTGTTTACATGCTACGTAAAACTTAGCCAATATCTGCCAGCTTCAGTGGTGACCTTGTGGCCTGTCCTCCTCAGAGCACCACGTCGCGGAGCGCACGGCCGAGAGCTACACGCTGCAGTGGCAGCGCGGGCACCTCTCCAACTACCAGTACCTGCTGCACCTCAACAACCTGGCCGACCGCAGCTGCAACGACCTGTCGCAGTACCCGGTGTTCCCGTGGATCATCAGCGATTATTGCAGCTCAGAATTGGGTAAATGCCTCAAAGCTACTTCTTAAAGGAGAGAAAAATATTCTGTTGTAGAATTACCATGTGATCTTTGAATAGATTAGAACCCATTTTAACTTTATTACTAAAGATTGCTAGTTGTCATTTCAATGTTAATATAAGTTATATGTGTTTATGTTTTCTCCATTGTCTCTTAATTTTCTTAATCCAAAAAATAGTACTCACATTCTTAAAGGACATGCCCAGAAAATATGCTTATAATTTTTAAAATTCTTTATTGTTTAAAGTATTACATATAGTATTACATACGTCTCCCTTTTCCCCGACTGACCTCTCCCTAGCCACCCCCACCCCATATGCATATAATTTTAAGCCATATTATCATTACTATCTACAAATACCAAGTTTTGAAATACTGTAGTTTTTCACTTTGAAAATTGTCTCAGATTATCCTATTTTAAAATTTACATTAAAATGTGATTACCAAACTAATAACTATTCATTATATGACATTTAGAATGTACTAAAATATTTTTTTAAAGGAAATAAAAATCATCAATTATTACATTACTGAGAGGTAGCCATTTTAATTTTGTGGTATATGTACTTCTCTCAAATTATTTTAACAAAAATAGTGATTGTATTGTGATTTTATGTTTTAATATTTAAAAATTATATATTGTGAACAATAAATTCCTTTGGACAGTTCACTTATTGAACTCTGTACTTGAAAGAGATAACAGATTTTCTAGGAATATGATAATTTATTTCTCTGATAATATTCAGGTCCCCAGTTCTCAAATTATGCTTGTAATTCAAACTTACAAAGTAAATCTTAGTAGAAGAATAATGGGCTTTTAAACTTTGTTTTTATTTATTTATTTATTTTTTGTTTTACTTGGAATATAGCTTGTTTCAGTAGGCCTTTTTTAAAAAAAATCCATATTTATGATGTTTTCAAATTGGAAATCACTCTTGAGTGGATTTTGCTAAATTAAAACTCAAAAGTTCTCACCTTTACAGCTGTATAAGTAGCTACCAGAAATACTGTAATTCTAATGGATCTGTCTCAGTTTTTTAAAACTGTTTATTTTGTGGAAATAAATGTGTGCATGTGAATCAGTTCATGGAGGTAATGTTATTAAGTATAGGTTTGCTTGCTTTATTTATTCTAATTAATTAATTTTTTAAAATTTATTTACTTATGTAGATTTGTCAAACCCAGGAACCTTCCGGGATCTTGGGAAACCAGTAGGGGCCCTAAATAAGGAGCGACTGGAGAGACTACTGGTGCGTGGATTTAAGGATTCTGGGTCTGTAAGGAACTTCCTGAACCATGGCCTATATTCTTATAGTAGCTGAAACTCATTTCATCAAAGCTTAGGGCAAACATTGTCCAGAGTGATCATGTTTTGTTTTGTTTTTCTTACTCCCGCCGCTCTGCCTGCTGCCTTCCCCCACGAATATAGCTGCTCACCATTTGCATTTTTTTTTGCCTACAATTCAGGAAGTAGGAGGCTGACCTGATTACCAGTGTACTAACTTACTTTCATGGAGGGTTCTCTCTGGTAAATTGCATAAGAGACGCATAAAATCCCTTCCATCTTCCATTCAATCCAGTCCCAACATTGTTACCACTGCGCCAAGAAAACCAAAAGACTTGTCACAGGAATGCTGTATTTATTCAGATTTTCCACCCTCTTTTTACCTTTCCTTTTCCTATTTTAAGAAAGAAATTAAGGAGTATAATGTACTCAGGCCGTGATTTCTTTTAGGCTTTTACTACATGAGTCACTTGTTATTTTCATAGCCAACACTTAGTAGTCTTTTTTTCTCACATATTATAGGAACGCTACCAGGAGATGCCAGAGCCAAAGTTCATGTATGGCAGTCACTACTCTTCCCCAGGTTACGTGCTGTTTTATCTTGTCAGGATTGGTAAGGTTCTTTATCATTACCCCAAGTCAATGTTATTTCACGTGGACTCTTCAGTGAATCTGTATCTCATTACCTCCGATTTCCCCCCTCCAGCACCAGAGTATATGCTGTGCCTGCAGAATGGAAGATTTGATAATGCAGATAGAATGTTCAACAGGTTTGACATAAATGCCCCACCTACCATTTTTTAAACTTCCTAATTATATATGCACAATATGTTTGTTTTAAAAAACTAGTATATAGGGCAAAAAATGTAAAGATATGCAAAAAATCACTAATTGTTATATCTATTCCTTTCAGGCTTTTTCTAGTTGTGTGTGTGTGTAAATGTGAGAACATATTTTAAATACACTTTTTGTCCCACTTTTTGTATCCATATTAGATCTTGAAGTTATCCCCATGTTATTAGAAGTTTTTTAAAACGTCTCATTTTTTTAAAATATTATATCACATCCTAATGTATGCCAGAATATATTTTAACTGTTTATTGTTGGACATTTAGAGTGTTTCCAACATTATTTCATTATTCTAAATAATTTTTTAAAATATATTTTTATTGATTTCAGAGAGGAAGGGGGAGAGAGAGATAGAAACATCAGTGATGAGAGACAATCATTGATCAGCTGCCTCCCGTACACCCCACCCTGGCGATCAAGCCCACAACCTGGGCATGTGCCCTGACCGGGAATCGAATCGTGCTTGGTTCATAGGTTGATAATTTTGCTATGAGTTGAATACAGTTCCCTGTGGGTCTGTAAATAACTTTTTTTTAATTATAAAAGTAATACTTCTTTCCAAAAAAAAACATCAGAAAATATAAAGAGGAAAATAAAGTTCAGTTGGCATCTGTCCACACTGAGAGAATTTTCATTATTTGTCTTTGGTCTGTGTCTTTTTAATCTTTAAGCTCTACACTTGTTTGTTTATCATTCCTTTTTGAGATGAGCTGTTAACATACTTGTGCTAATTTTCTAGTGTTTAAGCACCTGCCTCCATTGGTCCTTCAGTGAGGCAATATGGGTGCAGAGGCTCCTGGCATGGCCTTTGAGACATTCCATCTGGGCCTTGTTCTGAATCCCTGCTCACTCCAGTGTCTCCCATGTGAGCCTGGGGAGTTTTTCTCTTCTGTGAAAGGGGGATTGCGTTAACGAGAGAATGAGTTAATATAGGTAAAGTGTAGAACAACACCTAGGTGCAGAGAAAGCTCTGTGGTTGCTGTTTCTATACCCCTGAGTTAAAATCAGTTTAATTTTTTTTTTAATATTTAGTATTGCAGAAACTTGGAAAAATTGTTTGGATGGTGCCACAGATTTTAAAGAGGTAAGCGGTTTAAAAAGTTAATGATTCATGGGGCTAGTGTTTTCTAACTGCTTTAAAAAATGTTGTTGCTGTTCCTTTTTTTTTTTTTTTTCACCTGGCACCTTCAGTTGATTCCAGAATTCTATGGTGATGATGTCAGCTTCTTAGTCAATAGTCTGAAGTTGGATTTGGGGAAGAGACAAGGAGGACAGATGGTGGATGATGTGGAACTTCCGCCTTGGGCACGGAGTGAGTACCTCAGCAGTGTGGCGTTGTAGAAAGTCCTTCCCTGACAGTGCAGTTTCAGTGTGATTAATTACTTAGTTGCCTAGATTTTAAGAAAAATAACAGTGTCATTCTCTACCTCAATGAGGCAATGTCAGTCCTATTCCAGATAAAAAAATACTCTATGAATCTAGGCTATAAAAATATTGACATATATTTGAGAGACCTAAATGTTGGGAAAATGATTTTGCCACTTTTTCTCGCCACAAAATTTATATTTTATATGATGGGGGCAAAATGTCATTAAGAAATATGTGCCTCCTGCCTATCCGAGAAGCTTTATGTGCCTGTGGGTAGAGGACAGAAGTGAGAGAAAGGAAGGTGGACGCTGCCGTGTTTTGACGGAGTCTAATCTGCCAGGTCCCGAGGACTTTCTCCAGAAGAGCAAAGAGGCCCTGGAAAGCAATTATGTGTCCAAGCACCTTCACGAGTGGATTGACCTAGTGTTTGGCTACAAGCAAAAAGGAAGCGAGGCTGTTGGGGCCCATAATGGTATGTAATAGTCATTGAAAGTTCATTTAGTGTTTGATGAAAACGAAACAAACAAAATGAGGGCAGAGCAGTCAAACTTATTCCTTCAGCAGAAACTTCTGTCAGCAAACGGTGCCTACTGGCTCAGCGACCCTGGATTGGATACTAAGTGAGAGAGGAGGAAGTCCTTTTGCCTAAAGAACATCTATTTCAGCATGATCCCAAGAGGTCTTGTTCTAAAGTCTTCTAATTTTAGCAAGTACTCGCTATCCCATTCAATAATTTCAATTAAAACTCAATCAGAACATGATGGAGCAGCGACCTCAGTTGCTATGAAGGGTCACAGAGTTTCCTTTGAATTGAGCTGGAAGAAACCCGCAGTAATATACCTCCTCATCGGTCTTGGTTCTCACCTGCCTCCAGGTTTCTCAGGGTTGATGATGAGGAAGTGGAGCTTGATTTAAGGCCTGATTTCTCACAGCCAGAGCAGAGGGCCGGGTGACCTGCTTCCCCTCAGGGGAAGATAAGCTGACTGAGAAATACACTGAGGTAACCGGTCCTCTGACCTGCCAGTGAGATTTCTGCTCAGCAAAGGATAATTCAAGTTGATATTTACTGAAAAGTTGGATCTTATTAGTCTTTTTTGCAGAGTGAACATCAGTTACTTTGAATAAAAGTTTAAAGTTGTCACTGGGTTTTAAAATTTTGAACAGAGTGTGTAACTCAACAGTACATCTCTCAATGGTGTTTTACTTCTCTCCTTCCAGTGTTTCATCCCCTGACCTATGAAGGAGGTGTGGACTTGAACAGGTACTTATGTCTATAAGGAGCTTCTACTTGAACAAAATACCTCTTTAACTAAATGATGCGCTTATTTGATAATGTTAAGATATGGAAAATTTACAGTGAATTGTATCTTTTACTATTATGTGAGTTTCTGAGCCTCAGAAAATTTTTTTAAAATCTGTGCTAAGGTTTAGACAATCCTGACACACAGTGGGTGTTTGAAACTCTCTCTGGTTGATCTGTACCATCTGAAATATGTGCTTTCAGGAGACGGGAACCTAGGGGCTCACGGCATTATTTGTGTTCTGTCCTAAAGCATCGAGGATCCTGACCAGAAAGTAGCCATGCTGACCCAAATCTTGGAATTTGGGCAGACACCAAAACAGCTCTTTGTGACACCACATCCTCAAAGGATCACCGAAAACTTCAAAAGTTTGCCCCAAACCTCCTGTGATAACATTTCCATAGCAGATTCTCCAGGTAAATTTTGCAAAGAGAATAAATGTAAGCACCTTTCGTTTTTCTTTAAGACGTTTCTAATGATTCTGAAGAGGAAACACGAATGTTGTGCTGTTTAGAGATAATATTTTTACCATCTTATTGCGGTTCTCCTGAAAAAAACAACAACGAAACAAAACCAAACCCCCAACCACCTGTTTTGTTGGTGTTTTGTTTGTTGTTAACTATTCACTTTAAAGACACGGTACTTTTATTTTCTGGTAATTGAAACCTGGCAGGATTTTTATTGCGATTGTTATGGTTCCGTTTCTTTGTGCCTTTCCAAGCTGGTGTTTGATTCTGAGCCGTTCCCTTTCTATTGATACATCCTGGCCATGGCTGCTTTAACCGTCACCTTCCGCCCCACTCTTTCCCCAAAATTATTTCCACCATCTCTCATTCTCTCTCCATCCCCAGCTTACAGACCTTGAATTCAAGGTGCTCTGCTTTCTTTATTTGATTGTATTATTCAATTGACAAACACTTGCTAAGTATCTGTTCTGTGCCAGGCATATGCCAGGTGCTAAGACGAACTTGACACTGTCCTCACATCTCGTATTTGGAAAAGGTGGAATGTTCCCACACTTTCATCCAGTTATCCTTGTTTTAGTGTTTTATGTTTCACCTAAAACAGCCTCCAACCTCCTGGCTCTCAGGATTTTTACACTATATGGAACTTTGGGAGCAAAATCACTTCTTATCTCCACTTCTGCTCTCTGTTCCAGGCACATTCAGACTTTGTAGGCACACACTGCTGAGCATGCTCTCAGCTGTGGAGGAATAGCTCACTAGAGTCACGTGACCCAGGGCTGGCTGGGAGTATGTCTCAAGGAGATAACCCCATAGAGTTAAGTCATAAAGATCATAGGATTATCTTGTGACGCCTCTTAAACCGTGCTCCGCTTACTCACCGGGCTCACACCGCTGTCTTGTGATTATTTTAAAGGGTAATTGTCCCAGCCCGACTAAAAACAGAAGTGAAGGATTACTTGGTCCTGTCCAGGAGCACTTGGAGTCATTGCTTTCATCTCTGCTTTCTCCCCCGCAAAACCAAAACAACTGCAGCATTCTTAGTGAACCCTCTGATGTTTGCAAATATTATTGACAAGGAAATGGTTCTTCGGGCTTGTATTTCCTGAAGTTCTTAAATCAGGGGCAAACATTGATAAAAGTAACAAAATACTCTAGTATTTAAATATACTTTTTAATCTTTCTCCAAATGGTTTTTACTTTATTTCTACTATGTACTTTATTATTTTTCCTTAACTACCATGGAGCTATCTAACATATTTCAAAGCTATTACATTTTGGTGGGCTATTTTGTTTTCTTGGTTGTTTTATTTTAATAGAAGACACTGTGACTCGTGTTATCTGTGATGCTTGTTAGTGATGGAGTTGACTCACTTGGCAATAATCTAATGTGCTCTCTCCAGGGGAAGAGTCTTTTGAGGACCTGACTGAAGAAAGCAAAAAACTGGCCTGGAATAACATAGCCAAACTGCAGTTGCACGAGCAACATAAACTCCACAAAGAGTAAGAATGTCTGTGTTGTCCTCGCAGAAGTTGGCGTCTTGGCCTGGGGTGAAATTGTTTTAAACCAGGTCGGTGTAGCTCCGTGGTTGAGCATCGACCTATGAACCAGGAGGTCACAGTTCAATTCCTGGCCAGGGCACATGCCTGGGTTGCAGGCTCAATCCCCAGTAGGAGGTGTGCAGAAGGCAGCTTATTGATGATACTCTCTTATCATTGATGTTTCTATCTCTCTCTCCCTCTCTCTTCCTCTCTGAAATCAATAAAAAATATATATTTTTTAAAAAAATTGTTTTAAGCTGAATCAAGGTGGAAGTTCTTTCAATGTCATCTTGATTGTTTGTTTTTTTTTTATCTCCTTCAAGTATTTATAGTGATCAGCCACCTGATGTCAATGTGGCAAGGGAACTTTTGGAACAAAATGGATTTGTGTCAGCCTCCCATGTTCTCATTTCTATAGTTGGTCCACCTAGAATTTTAAAAATAATACCTGTACTTCCAAGACATTGGGCTTCCTGCTGGACCTGGAGGGGTTACAAGTGTTCCCTGTCTTCCGCTATTAAGAATATTTTTATACTTTGGTAGAAAGACTTGAGAGGCACTGAAGTCACCTGATCCATCCTGTTACAGATGAAAAAAAACCAACACAGACCCAGACCAGGCTGTGTCCTGCTCCTGCACCCTGGACATCCTGTCTGACATTTTGAAATCACATGGGGGAAACATGCCAGTTTACTTTAGATTAGTGGTTTAAAATCAGAGTGCAGCCTCCTGAAAAGAATACATAGTTCCTTATTCATTGGAACAATGGCCTTTTCTCAACCTCTCTAAATGGCACGAATCCAAGGCAGTGAAGACACGAATGAACCTTTAACAGGATGTGCTAGACTAGTTCTGTCTGGACAGTGGTCTCATCATTGCGCAGACGCTGGTAAATTCAATTCAGTGATCAAGCCGGGGAACTAATTTTAAATAAGAGTTTCAGTCCTTGGGTGATGGTCAAATAAAAGGGAATTGAAGAAGCAGTAGTTTTCCAGCTGTCAGAAATGTGTTACACTTTGAATGTGGCAGCTCAGGAAGCTAAGAGTGGGAATGTTTTCCAGCCACAAGTCCTGCCAGAACAAAATTAGAAGTTGCCTAGTGATGCTTTGGTAAGGGCAGGTATCAGGTGGGACAGATGCAGCAGGCAAGCTGTGAAGGAAAAAATCACAGAAACTTGGTAAAATTAAACCAAGGGCTTGAAGGAGACCAGTGTCCTAGTGCACGATTGAGGCCATTCATAAAACTTTGTTTTCGAACAGGGCGGTTACTGGAATAGCGGTCTCTTGCAATGGCTCATCAGTCTTTACGACGTCACAAGGTATGTTTTCCCACCTGAAAAATGGCTTTCCGAGGATCGTAGTGTCCAACTTCGTGACTCTCAGGTCAAGGACTGACTGTACTTGCATGTGCTGCCCCCACATAAAATAAACTCGGAGCAATTAATTTGTGGCATATTACATACGGTGTCATTGTGGTTTGCCAAGAGGTCATGAAGAATGCCTTTCTGTGGCTGAGGCTTCCCAAACTTTAAGGGGAAGGGCGGAAAGAACTCGTTCCCCACCTGCTTGCTGGGGAGGAAGGCAGCGTCGTCATCATCTGTAAGAGGCAGGAAGTCCTTCTTACCTGTTTCTTTTCCTTATTAGATAACACCTTGAAAATGTTTTCTACAGAATCCAAAATGCTACAAAGAAGTATATCATTTTCAGATATGGTGAGTTCATTTTCATTTAGTCATGCTAGAAATCCATGTAGCACTTTGTTTTATACACACTCGTGTAGTGACATTGTTTCCCCCCAAACAATTGTTGATTCCTGTGTGATATTGACAGAATGCCTTAGATTACTTCTAAATTTACATTTTTTTCAAGTTGCCTCTTTCTCATAATAATGTGATTTCATTGGTAGCCTAAACAACTTGAACTGCTACCCAGAATTCTTCATAATAAATCATTCCTTTTTTGGAACGGTCAGATGAATGTGTATGTGCTACTAAAATAACTTAATGCATTTCTGAGTTGGTGGGATACCTAATACTAGAACCCCAGTGATTCTGAAAGAGCGTTTTACTGTTAATGTCAGTCACCTGAAAGATTTTGAAATTCCCTGAAGAATTTTGGGAGTTTTCCTTACCCACATGAATCTGTAATCCTGAGAGGGTGTTCGCATTCTTGACAGTCCCCAGGCCACCCTCCCCCGTGACTTCCCACCGCTGAGGGGGCCCCTCCAGTGCTCCGGGGCCTTGCAGAGCCCTGAGCATTAGGCAAGTCCTTGCACGCTTGACACACAGACTTCCCTGCCATTGGGAGGAAACATGGCATCTGGAATTAGTCAGTTGAGAAAAACTTTGTCTATTTCAAAAGGCTAACAAACAGAATCTGAGCACTAATTTGGGGGGCATCTTGTATAGTGGTTTTGCCATGTTGGGGACTTACTAATTACTGTAATTATTAATGCCGAATCATTTGTATTTCAGGCGTTATCGTCTTGTTTACTTTTACCAGGAGATGCCACTGTCATAAGTTCCTCATGGGATAATAATGTGTACGTATGTGCATGCTTCTTTGTCATTCCACTCACATGTAACTGCCTCGGGGACACCAAGCAGCCAAGGAGTCCCCCATTGGCAGGACACTATTGTTTTCAAAAAGGAACACATATTGGATGAGGATGAAACTGTTGGATTTGAACAGAATTATTTGAGTCTAATATTTCTCCAATTGGACTCTATTTCTCTGTGTTTTAAATTGAGGTGAAATCATATTAAGAGCTAGACCTGGAAATTTCTAGTTTTAAATTAAAATTTTCAGTATTTTTATATGATAACATGAGAACAAGTAATTTGTAATTCTAGTGGGCCTTAGTAAGTATAAAACAACATAATGTTTCTTGAATATGTGTTTAAGAGGCTTAAAATTAAGTTGAATGCTGTGTTAATAGTTCTCGTTATCTTTTATGTTAGCTATTTTTATTCTATAGCATTTGGAAGGAGTCAAGGCACATTAATGGGACATGATGATGCTGTTAGCAAGATCTGTTGGCATGACAACAGGCTGTATTCTGCATCGTGGGATTCTACCGTGAAGGTTTATATAATTTCTAACTTACAATGTTTGGATAATAAAAATATAAACCGTTCAACTGTTAACGTGTTCAATTCAGTATTTTTCACAAAGCATGTAAGTGATATATAAGGATATTGAATATTACTGCTTTTTTTTAACATGTACACTTTTCAATATAATAGGAACTTTTCATGATTTTTCTGCTGTGTGTTCCACTGGGTGTTGGGAGAAATGCAATGCCTTTTATCTAACACAATTGGGACTAGCAATTGATCAGTTAAATAGAAAATGTCAAGTGAAAGTGGGGAATCATTAAGAGATAATGCATTTTATTAAACTTAAAACATACAAATGCCCATTTATTCACTATCCTGCTGAGGTAGGACCATATATGAATACCAGACCAGTACTTATCATCTTTGGTTTCCAATCTGCATTTGTGTAAAAAGAAAGCAAAAACCTAAAACCATTAGAATTCCTTCAAATTTTTTTCAATATTTTCCTCCCATTCTTGTAGATAAGTTTCTTGCTTGCACCTGATGTAATTTAGTGCCTTGCCTTTTTGAGTCTTCTCAAGACATTAATAGACACTACACTTATGCACTCGTATTTCCTTAGTTCAAACAATGCTTAAACTACATATTTCTGACAGCAAGTGCAAGGTATGGAAATAAGACACAGGTCCAGCCGCCTCTTGGTAAGCACAGAATGGCGGAATAAGGGCGCTGAGGGAGAGGAAACAGAAGTATTAGGCAGCTTCCGTAGTTGGGGCATGTTCAATGGACATTGGTTAGTCGAGAGTTCTTCAATGTGTTAGATATGCTCTTATTATATTCATGTTTGCAAATATCTTCTGCACTCTGTTCCATCCTAGGTGTGGTCTAGTGTTCCTGCAGAAATGACAGGCACCAAGAGACACCAGTTTGACCTGCTGGCCGAGTTGGAACATGATGTTAGTGTGAGTACTGAGTACCGGCAACAAGAGTGCAGGAACTTGGGGGCCAGATTCTTTTTAAAAAAATATATATTTTATTGTTTTTTTACAGAGAGAAAGGGAGAGGGATAGAGAGTTAGAAACATCGATGAGAGAGAAACATCAATCAGCTGCCTCCTACACACATCCCACTGGGGATGTGCCTTCAACCAAGGTACATGCCCTTGAGCGGAATCGAACCTGGGACCTTTCAGTCCGCGGGCCGACACTCTATCCACTGAGCCAAACCGGTTAGGTCTGGGGGCCAGATTCTTGATTTTACCTACGTGTTTATGATCTTTTGCTTTGTGTTATTTTGCTTACTGATCATAGACTCTCAGTTTTCTTCTTCGAGTTGACTCTTTGGGTTTCCAAGTCTACTTTGTCCTTTTTCCTCCCGTTTGTTATTTCCCTGAGCACAACATTGAATATCTGGGTATCCTCAGAGTATCTGGGCCAACAAGATGTGCCCCATCATCTTTCCTATTTTCTGACACAGAAGGTAGAAGGGACCATCTCTCTAGGACAGTGATGGCGAACCTTTTGAGCTCGGCGTTGTCAGCATTTTGAAAAGCCCTAACTGGTGCCCTGTCACATATAGAAATTTTTTGATATTTGCAACCATAGTAAAACAAAGACTTATATTTTTGATATTTATTTTATATATTTAAATGCCATTTAACAAAGAAAAATCAACCAAAAAAATGAGTTTGTGTGTCACCTCTGACACGCGTGTCATAGGTTTGCCATCACTGCTCTAGGATAATGCACATCCACCACAGAGGACACTGATCTTATTATTTGGCCCAAGTGTGTGCAGTCAGGGGCAAAACCAGGCTGGCACCTGGTCCCTTTCTCCCGTTGCTATTTCCACTGGTTCCCACTAGGTTCTCGCTCCCAGTACAGTGGGGCCTTAACTTACGAGTTTAATTCGTTCCGTGACGGAGCTCATAACTCAAATTACTCGTATGTCAAATCACTGTGACGTTCGCTGCGCCCACTAGCGGTGGGGTATCTGAAGCTGGCTCGTAACCCGAATTTTTTTGAGCTTGCAACTGAAAGCAAAAAATCGGCCGAGAGACGGCTCGTATCTCAAAAAAACTCATTAGTCGGGACACTCGTAAGTCAAGGCCCCACTGTACTGCCTTTTCTCTGATGCTGGGAATTGATGCCTAGTTTGCATGGTTGACAGATCAACTGAAGTCAAGAAATATTTAGTATGTAACTCAAGATGAATATTTAGGTATAACTTTGAGATATTACCCCTCCCCCCCCCCCGCCCTCCCAAATTCCTCAAATCATCAATCAGCTGTGTTTCAGGCAGTTTGGCAAATCTCTACAACTTAACATTCATGGAATTAGACTGACAAGTTTAGGCTATTTTAAAATAGCATTACATTTCCCCAAATAACACTTCATTTTATTCACTAGCATACGAAGAGATTAGTTATTATTCAGTAAGTGATGTTTAAATACATCTGCATTAACTACACCAGGACACTGTACCATAGAGTTTAATCTGTATCATTATGCCCACATATTTGAACTGGCCGAGGGAAACAGAGCTTATGAGCCTAATTCTAAAGGGAATACTTATGTTTTCTTGCTCAGGTGGATACCATCAGTTTAAATGCTGCAAGCACACTGTTGGTTTCAGGCACCAGAGAAGGCAAGGTGACTATCTGGGACCTCACGACGGCCACCATACTGCACCAGATTCCGTGCCATTCGGGGACTGTGTGTGACACTGCTTTCAGCCCAGGTAGTATTGTCCTTTTTAATGCAGATGATCCTGGGGGGACTCGAATTATTACTTTGAAATAAATAAAAATGTAAAAAGAAAAACACTTTGCGGATAAAAGTAGTTTTGCCTATAGCTAGAGCTTCTTCATGGCAGAATACAGTATACTTGTGGCATTTGTACCGAGTAGAAAAACTGTATTGGATATTATTACTTCTTCCTCAACTCACTAGAGAAATTAGTTTGTAAGATTTGTAATTGCATCTGCCCAGTGTCTTAGAAACACAGCATTTCTGTTTTTGTCCCTAAGAATTTGAGCCAAACTGATGAGACATGCTGACGAGCAAGATCTCAAATGCTCCAAAACAGAAGCATTTCAAAGAGAGGATAGTCATTGGTTAAGTAAAACAAGGAGCTCAAGGAAAATGAGAATGAACATTAGGCCACCAGACTCGGAAATAAAATCTCAGAATAATCTACGCTCTGAAGCTATAACCTTTTATCTGTGTCCCTTGGTGTTACAGACAGTCGCCATGTCCTCAGCACAGGAGAAGACAGCTGTGTGAATGTAATAGACGTGCAGACAGGAATGCTTATCTCCTCCATGACTTCCGACAAGCCCCAGAGGTACATTTTTGGGGTTACTAACGGTGAAGACATTTACACACAAGTTTGTGAGCATGTGCCTTTGGGCTTACTTTGGCCAGAATATAGCTCTTCCTTCATGATGAATAATGAAATGATTCTTTCTAAACTAGAGGCCCAGTGCACAAAAATCATGCATGGATAGGGTCCCTAGTGGCTGCTGGTGGGGGAACTTCCTTTGTTCTGCGCCGTCCCCTGGTGGTCAGCGCACGTCATAGCTAGCGATTGAACTCCCGGGGGGACACTTTGCATATTAGGCTTTTATACTGAGAGATTATTCTTGCAGGTGCTTTATCTGGGATGGAAATACTGTTTTATCCGGAAGTCAGTCTGGTGAACTGCTTGTTTGGGACCTCCTTGGAGGAAAACTCTGTGAGAGAATACAGGGACATAAAGGTAAGGGGTTTTCAGTTAGCCTGACCTTCCTTCCCAAAATACCGAACTCAAACCTGCTTTCCCGCAGTCCTAGCCACAGCAATCAGACAGGAGAGAGAAACAGACACCCATACTGGGGAGGAAGAAGTAAAGCTGTTATTTGCAGATGACGTACTATATAGAGAGAATCCTAAGGATTCCACCAAAAACTATTAGATCTGATAAACAAATTCAGTCAAGTAGCAGGATACAGTTAATATTCAAACCTGCTTTTCTTTCAGCCCCTGTGCCCTCTGGGCTCTAACATTCCCCTCCAGCATCCTGGCTGGCCTGTATCTCTTGGGTCTTCAGAATTTAGATTTATGTTGATGGACATTTGACTCCAAAAAGGAAGTTTTTACATTAACTTTCATATGGAGAATTAAAAGCCATTATAAAAGCTATGTTATTTTTTTTAATAGTTAAAAACAATATAAAAGTAATGAACTACAACGAGAAAAGCTAAGTCAACTTTCCACCACTGTCTTACCCCCGCCCCCACTTGTCTTCCAGTTTGAGTCCAGGGTGTGTCTCATTGTTGAGAGGGTGTTTGCATGTGTGCATAATAGTGTCATGTCTTTTCACTTAGATCTTCTGGAGATTCACTATATTTGCTTACATTTGCATTGTTTTCTCCTGATCATTTGGAAGGTTTATGGCTTTGAATTCTTCTAGTGTCAATGGTTAAAAGTATCTGCTACCTTCCCACTGTGAGCAGTAACTTCTCACCTTCTTCTCTTCCCTGTCACCCAGTTTTGTAGGGTTAGTGCTTAACTTTATAAAGTGATATATCTATGCCTTTCCAACTTACTAGCTTTAACATTTTTACTCTTTCCAATAGAAATAGATGTAAATCATTAGATTAACACCAATTCTCTCCCTTTTCCTCACAAGTTCCTCGGACTAAGCAGTTATTATCAGATAAAAGTACAGCACTTCTTAGTGTATCTTTGGGGACTGCCTATCAACTCGATCCCTAACCAGTGTCTTTTCCTTGTAGGTGCTGTGACCTGTATATGGATGAATGAACAGTGTAGCAGTATCATCACAGGAGGGGAAGACAAAAAAATTATGTTCTGGAAATTGCAGTATTAAGTGCCTTTTCCTCTCCTGAATGTTAAGAACTCTAATGTGTTTTTAAACCAAACTTTTAAATGAACTGGTGAAAGTGCAATGATAGTATTAGAAGTTTTGCCACATAAGAAATCTGTGGTTTTAAACTTTCTAAGTCATGGTGACGTCACTGAAAATTGTTAGTTGCTATCCTGAAAGGTAGATAAAGGTACAGCACTGTTAAGGAGGAACATTACATTTGTAAGGCAGATGATCATCCCAGTATGATGGTCAGAAGACAGGTTTGAGTGGCAGAGATGCTAAATTGGGCTGGGGAACATTCAGAAAGCACTTAACAATTTAGAATTTTCCAAGAAAATGTGCAGTATTCTCTACTACTGAGTCACTATTTTGTCTTCCTGATTTACACAATTGCTGCCCACTGGGTTTTGGGTGTGTTTTCATGGTGTGGTTACTTTCTATAACCTGCTGTCCCCAGATTCTAGGGACCCGGGGAAGGAATAGCAGTTCTTACAACAGTAAGTTTACTGTGTATAGGAACAGTTTATTTCATGATAACTATTAAATGCTCATCTTTTCTACATTAAAAATATTTTTCTGTAATGCAACGTTTTCATTTTCTTATTACAAAAACTAGGACTTTTTAAGAACTTCAAGTATTGATCCTCCTAGAAAACCATACTTAGCGATGTGAATGTTGGTCTTACACTTGGAACCATCTTCAGATCCAAGTCCAGACAGCAAAGTAGATCATCAAACTGGGAAACACTGGTTTGCTTTGCTAAATTTCAAACAAGGTAAGCTGCAAAGCAGTAACACTTTTCTTTTCTAAACCACAATAATATAGGATTTAAAATTTTTCTATACTCTTTAGAAATAGTTTTATCTTGCAGGCAGTATGGCATAGGAGAAAACTTGAGTCAGACTAGGATGATAGCATTTTCAGTCAGTTTTAAGTGCCATTAAACATTACTTGGTCTCAAGTATCGCTAGGGAGAATCTACAGCCTCACCCGAGTTCCTGGTGCTCACCTTGAGGGCTGCAGACCTGTCCATCAGCTTCTCAGCTGGAAACACCTTTCCTGACACTGCTGCTCCCCTAGCAGAGGGCCTTCTCGGGACCCCTGGGCGTCAGCTGCTGCAGAGAGGACTCCCACCACAGGTCCCAGGTGAATTTCACATGCCCGTTTTCTAGGTCATGTACTAGTTTAGTGAAAGCCATGGACAGTTTCCAAAAGGTGCAATAATAGACAGTCTGGCTAAATTTTGACTTTATTTATACATACATATTTAATTGGAATAGGCAGAAACCAAAGAGAAAAAAAAATCAGGATAAAGTGTCAATGCCATTTTGTTTTCAGGGCAAAGTCAGGAAATAGAACAAATCACCAGGACAACATGGTTTGTAAGACCATCCCAAAGCAGTTAAGTTATATAACCTATGAATGGAAAAAAGTCAAAAGTTTATTCTACTTAGTATTAAGAATTTTTACATTAAATATATAGTAATTCATTTATCAGAAAATGATACCAGGAACTATGAGAAGTAGTTGCATTCATTACACAATGACTATAACTAGAAAATCTCAAATGCAATAAGCAGCTACGCTATATATATAGCTCTTGTTCTGGGCTAACGTACATGTCAGTTTAATATGGAACTGCATTATGGGTGTTAGAAAGGCAGCAATAGTTATATTTTGGCTTTTCTTCTAGATGCTTAAGGCAGCAGTTCAAGCATATTAAGTGAAGGTAGTTAAAATTTAATGATAATTAATACAACTTGCATACACTGTTTAATGCTTCCTACATGGAATGAAACCAGTGTTATTTAATTGGTGTTTACAGAAACACACTACACACAGATAACTAAAAAAAACAAAACAACTATCGAAAGCAATCATTCTAAATGTCCTATGGTAACAGTAAAAATGCAAATATACCATAGAACTAAAGTAACAGCACTACTTGATTTATAGGACAAAGGTGACTGGCTCCAACACAAAGCTAAGCCTGCATCAGTCATTCTAATCATAATGGCTTGTAAAAGCATCAGGTTTCCAGTAGAGAAACTAATCTATGAAAGTAAGTCTCTTGATTTTGAGAGTTTCACATCTGTAAAACCAGGATAAGGCTACAACTATTTTGAAGTCTGAACAATTATTATCAGATCAAACAGTTAGATTCCCAGCCATACTGTAAGACAGAAAGGACCTCATGCAGCATATGCTCTCTGGCTCCTAGGAAGCTTCCTGTGCATAATATCGAGTGAAGTTGCCAAAGAAGTAAACTGGAGAAGTTCAGCCAAGTTTCCATTGTGTCGTGACTTTTAAACCTCAGGAATGGTGTGGTCCATCAGGCTTTTGATAATGCTTGGTGCCATCCTACAAGAGAGTCATTATGTTGATCCAAGAAAACTCCAATTCAAACTTAGCAGCTGTTAGCATGAAGCATCAAGTGGGATGGTGGGGGGGAGGTCTTTTTAATGAGTTCTAATCTAAGGGTCTCATGCAATCTACTTGTTTTGCAAATGTCCACTGTGAAAGGCTATCTGTATCTTGGCTAGAAAAGTTAGATAAGATACAAGTAAGTCTTTGTATATTTTTGTATATTAAGGCTGATGATTTTTTTAAAAAATGCTGTTATGAACTGGGAGGCAAACTGGAGGACAGCTATCACTTATTCGACAGTAACTCCTTTTTTTATACCCCAAAAGTAGCTAGCTGCTTTCTACCTAGCAGCTGAAACTAACAAAAATATATTATCCGCCTATTTCCATATGCAAAATAGATCCTGAAAAAAAGGATTCTAAGTTGGCAAAAACAGTTCTGCTAGAGCCAGGATTTCAAAAGCTCCTGGGAAGGTAACCCATGCTGCCCCTTTTCTAGTCTCCTTTCTCAGCTTTCCAGTCTTCCCGTTACCTGCCTTCCGAGATGCCTGAGAGAGTAAAAACTGTGACTCCTAACATCCAGTAAGAATTTGCCATCATGAACCACGAGTAAATTTCTACTGAGCAGAGGAACTATAGGCAGCGTGCAACCAATCCATTTTTGGAAGCTGAAGAGAAAGTTTGCCCAAATCTGCTCGTATATCCTTTTCCTAGTAGGAAATGTCAAAATTTCCAGTGTGTAATGAATTTTATTCCAAGCTTAGGAAATTGTAAGGGGTCATCCTTACCAACCAAATCTTCTGATTTTAAATAATTTACTCCAATGTCACCCCTTAGGTAAAGAACCAAAAGTTTGGGAATTAATATATATGTACTGTGCTTGCTTTTAAGTCTCATTAGCATAAGCATCAAGTTAAAGAACTGTGTCTACTTACCGTTTAATAATATGTTCAAAGATAAAAGCAGGCATGATTGTAATAGTAACTACAGTCCCAGATGTTGACAATATGTCTGCAACTTGAGAGTCCTATTGAAAACATAAAATTGTTATTCTTCTTAAAGAAATATGTCCTCTTATGTTTTGCTAATCACTCTAAATTCCTAACTCTTGGTATTTACAATTTTTTTCTAGTTTTCCTTACCAAGTTTAGTGTAGAATCACAATCTTAAGATTATTACAATATCCCCTCAGTTAGCCAAAATTCATAAAATAAGCAGGTTATAATGAAATCCTTTAGATCTTAAAAGTCTTATTCAGGAATTTGAATAGAAACTATTACTTGTTGCCCATAATCCAAATTGGAAAAAGTTGTACAAGCATTCATTAAAAATGCCATCAAACCTTTAATGCCTATGTCTCCATAAAATTCTAGTTCAAGGGACTTCAGAGATCATCTACTCCAGCCCCTTGTTACAGGAACAATAAATAATTCCTGGTAATAGCCCAGATAACTCCTTTGAGTGGCCTGAGTATAGCCAGCACAGCAGAGCCCCAGATTCCACCATCACATATCTACCACTGTATTGCTATATTTTGGAGGTCAATATGAAAACAGCAACATCCAAATAGACAAAAAAACAAGTTCTTTACCTTCAACCCAATGACATTCTGTCCATTAATTTCACAGATGTTATGTTCTGTGAGAAGACCATTTCTGGCTGCAGAACTGTCTTTTACTATGGATGTTATTTTTCCATTTTTAAAGATAAAACCAACATGCCCGGTACTATCCTTATGCATAGTAATTGTGCGTTCAAAGGGCCTGTAAAACATAATGGATTCAATTGAAAATTGCACAGTAAACATTTTAATGGACTTCTATCCTGCCATACTAGTTGTTTTGTTATCATAAACTCAGTGTTTCCAATAGGAGCAACTAAGTATGGCTGTGATATTGTACATTCAGAGAATATCTTAGCATAAAAGATTACAGTTGATCCTTCAATGCAGGGGGTTAGGAGCACTGACCCTCCAAGCAGTCAAAAACCTGCATAGAACTTTTGACTCTGCATAAACTATCGTCGGCCATCCTCATTTGCAGATTGCCAACAGTGGCTCAAAAAAGTTGACCCTGTACCATACAGGTTTGAACTGCGCGGGTCCCCATATTAATTTAAATCCATAGTGGACCCACGCAGTTCAAACTCATGCTCAAGGGTCGACTGTATTTTTCTTTTAATTTATCCATTATGGTTTGCCTAAATTACTAATATTTCCTTCTTTGAAGTATCCAAGACTTAACTGGCTTCTAGAAAGTTCCTTTTAGAAAGGAAGACATGTAGCTATTACAATAAGGCAGCCAGCTCTACCATGCCAGTTATACTTGCTCACCTTTCTATAATTCTGCTGCCATGTCATTACATGGGTTTTCTGATAAACCTGTGTTTTCATAAAATTCAGAACAGTCATATCTTCCTATTGGTCCACGTTATTACTATTACTCTTTTCCTTAGATATAAAGCAAAAAATGGCATTCATCTATAAAATGTTTACTAAGTACCTTCCACATGTGAGAAACTAGAAACACAAGAAATAATTGTTTTAGAAGAAAAACTCTAAAGCTAACAATATGACAGAGGCCCACCCTTAACACTTGTGAGGGCTGGGGCAAGAAAATAAATGGACGCCCAGATTTCACGTGCTAAATGTTTCCGTTTTAAACGGACTAACTGCTAAATAAAATGTCCCATCTTCCCACCCTGACAACTAGAGCTTCATAACCAGCCAAAAAGCCAGGTCTGTTTTTGGAACTTGTAGAGACTTGGCGTTATGCAGGGACCCTGGCACTTCCACCCTGGAGACTGGGTGTCTAAGTAGTAAATTAGAAAGTGAGCCCCAGGATGCATGCTGCTCACTTTTCCAATGTCCATTTTCTATAGAAACAGATTAAGATAGGAAAGTAACTTCTTAGAGGATGAATTTCTGTAAGCTCTGAAATAAAAGTGTATGCAAAACCAGAACACTATTTAAAAAAAACCCCAAACTATGTAAAAAATCTGCACCACACAAATTTTAAGACTCTAAGGCTCATCAGTAACATTTGATTATTTTCTGCAACAAAATATTATATTCACAGAATCCAAAAAGCCCAAGAAAAAGGGAAACTGGTCTTAAATTTCCATTTGAACTGTCCAGTCAACTTACCTGTCACGAATAGTCATAGTAATCTTCTCTCCAAAAGCCTGCTTGAGCACCTTGTGTGCTTTATCAGAGCTCCAGCCTGCACAGTTTTCCCCGTTGATCTGCAGCACTTGGTCCCCGAATCTCAGACCAACTAATGAGGCTGGAGAATTTGCCTGGACAAGCTGAACAAATATGCCCTAGAGAATAAGAAAATAACTTTGGTCATTTAGCACTGTTATGATATAGTTTTAAAATGGTGGAAAATTAGGACCAACTGTTTAGGTTAGGAGTCTACTTTAGTAATTTTAAAAAAAATTACATAAGTATATGTGTTACCCCCCAAAAAGAAATTGAAAATTTTATCAAGGCAAGAATCCCAAGAAGGCAAAAAGATCAGATCTCAGTAATAATTTATACCTCAATTCATGACCCATCTACCCATCCTCAATCACTCCTTTCATTTTGGAATAAAAAGACTACGGAAAACAAAGGTTTACTATAATAGATGTTACATCCGAGTCTGACAATACTGAATAGGTTTTGGCCACATGATCATTATTTAGGGGGAAAGCAAATCAAGTGTTAAAAGTTTTGTGATTTCTTTTACAGTTTAGAAGTGATAGAAGGTCCTCACTTTTTGAGCTGAAGGATTCCTTTATCCACTTGCTAAATTATGCATAATTAAGAGTAGGGTTTAATTTAACAGCCTAAAAAGGTGGGCACATTCAATACCACTCCAGTTCTTATAAAGAATCCACTATGAAATACAGAAAACTCAAATATGTTTAAGATATTTTTACTTCTATAAACTCAAACTCAGATGAATAAAATATAAACAAGTATAGAAGAATGAACCTGACACAATATGAAAGCATCTACAAGACCAGACCCTTTCTACCATCTTAAGCTGGGTCAGACTTGACCTCTGTCGTGTGTCTGCGACTTCAGTTTAGGCAGTTCAGGAAAACTAGGCAGCATCTGTAAGTGGTCTGACAACGGAATTTTGTCCAAATGTACAAACCCACTGGAAGGATAACTGCAGTGGGAGGTGGGGGCCTATGAAGAATATCTTGTCTCTTTAGAACAAAGGAAGGTGCGGAGAAGAAACCCTGGCACAAGGGACAGCAAATACTTCATTCACTGAAAAAGGAGAGTGAAGTCAGAGCTTCCCAAAGAAGCACCCTGATGTGTCTTCAATAAGCTAGGAATGTTCAAAGGCATCGATGTCCTCAGCCCCTGGGCAGGCAGGCAGGGTTGGGGCTCCTGCCAAGATCAGCCTCGGTCATTTTCTATGTGAAAAGGTTGGACACAACGAGCTGAGGTCTCAATACTAAAAAGGAACCCAATAAGGCAATACCCGAAACCATACATCAGGGCAAGTCCTTAACAATCCTGAGTGCTTCCTTACAGAGTAACCCTGTTTAATTTCTTCAGTACAGTTAAGGGGAGATGAGAAGCAATTATAAAGGTAAAGTAATGGCTTCCCTAATTAGAAAGTCATCTTTGCTCAGAAAATGACCTATTAAATTCAAATTAAAGGATGGCAATAACAGAATTGCAAAACCATTTCATAACAAGTTAAATAATCATTCTTTGGCTTAAAAATACTCATCACAAGACCACTGATTTTCACTGGTCAGTCTTTTCTTAACTTCCATATCCCTTGCCCTGTTTCAATGCCAGATTTCTATTTGTATAAACTATGTTATACTATATACAGACCAGTGAACTTTATTCCAAGAAGAGGACTCAAGGAAGAAAGAAAAAAATCTTCAAGGTAATGTTGGAAGTCCCAACTCTGCTTCTTCAGAATATGGCATCTCCAAGTGGGAAAAGTTTGTTAGATTTAAAGTATTCTCAATTATAAATACACCATTATAATTTATTAAAGCATTTCAATTTAAATTATTCCAACACAAATTACTTAATGTCCTATAAGCTATTTAGACAAATAGACATCAAAAATACTTACATTATCTATAGATTTAAGCCTGAGCCCAATTTTTCCATCTTGATCCTTACACAAAATGACTTCACGAATGCCTTGCTTAATTTCTGCTCTACGAATGCCAACATCATTACCAGTTACAGGAGCCACCATATAGTTCATACTGGAAGGTCTTGCTACCAACTGCTGACAAAAGGATACACAATGTATCAGTATTTACAAACATTCTCCATGAAAAAAACAAAACTAAAACGAGTAACTTGAATATACTCAAGTTGTGGTTTCCCAAAAAGTAATCTGGAAATTATTTCCTTCAGATGGTTTGATTCATGCAAAAATGACCCTGGTTTTTATTTACCAATTCCTCAGGTCACTTCTTCCCACATTTATCACCTCAACGGAGTCAATGCCTTCCTGTCTGCCTGCTGCCTTCTGAATTCACTGCCATTTTTCATATGTACTTTGGCTTGCCTTCAACTCAAATGTATGATCCTAGAACTTAAAAGGCACTTTTGAAACTTATGCAACATTTTCCAGAGGTTCTATTTTATATGGTCTGATTTTTGGCAAACTCCTTACCCTTTTAAAGTTTCTATAAAAGGCCAACGTTCTTACCTCAACAGTGCCACTGTGAGGATTAAAAGAAAAGGGCATGTTACGTGAGTGCTGCACACCACAAATATTATTTCTCATCCCCTTTAATAAACATCTGTGGATTAGCCAATGGTAGGCACAAACCAGACTGCCTTAGAATAGCAGGGACTTGTGCCAGGTACCATATTTCAAGTTTCTCGTTGTTTTCAAGTTTTCTTGACCAAAATTGGTTTCTTATTTTTAATGTTTTTTTTTAAATTGATTTTTAGCAGTGGTTCTCAACCTTCCTAATGCCACAACCCTTTAATACAGTTCCTCATGTTGTGGTGACCCCCAACCATAAAATTATTTTCGTTGCTACTTCATAACTGTAATTTTGCTACTGTTATGATTCGTAATGTAAATATCTGATATGCAGGATGTATTTTCATTGTTACAAATTGAACATAATTAAAGCATAGTGATTAATAACAAAAACAATATGTAATTATATATGTGTTTTCCGATAGTCTTAGGCGACCCCTGTGAAAGGGTCGTTTGACCCCCAAAGGGGTCGCGACCCACAGGTTGAGAACCGCTGATTTTTAGAGAGGAAGGGTTAGGGAGAGAGAAACGTGATAGGGCTGTCTCCTTCCTGCACTCCCCCTACTGAACCACAATTTTATGAAGAACTGCATCTTTT